TAATTTGAAAATTCTTCCTTGCAAGATTTTGCAATGATCGGGCCAGTGTTGGACCAGGAAGTATTTCACAGTAAAAAACCAATAACAAAACGAAGCATCTTGTCCTTCAGCAATACTTATAGTCTCCCTTGACTGGTGGAGGAGGAGAAAGTACAATAGTAACTTCTGGCTTCTCTGCTGCTTAAAACTTCTTAAGACTCTTCATAAAGTTGTTTATAAAACAATTAGCGCAAATGATAGTGTTGGGTAGAGTCTGAGGTTAGGCAAGATTTAGAGCAGCTTCCACCACTTTAACTGTGCAAAGGATCCTCAAAGAGTTGAGGTTACATGTGTATTTTTATCATCCTTTATTCAGGAATCTCCTGCTTCCGCATTCTGACAATGGCAAGAGCGGCAGGAACACACTCCCAGCATAAATCTTTCAAGAGCTTTCTGAAAGCATTATGCGGTCAAGCAAAAATGTGCCTGGTGTTATGTCCCCACCAATGGTTGTCTTCACTTTCCCTCTGTATTGCAGGAAATGGCTGACCCCAGGAGACTGAGTGAATGGATGAGGAGTCCTTCTGGCGACTGGAAGTGGCTTCGAATTACAAGTCTCTCTGGGGCTATGTGTACACTGGTAAAAAAAAACCCACAGCACCAAGTCTCAGAGCCCATGTCAGCTGCCTCCCGGGGCTCAGGCTACAGGGCTATGACATGTCAGTGTAGACATTCGGGCTCCGGCTGGAACCTGGGGTCTGAGACCCCAGGAGAGGGGAGCATCTGAGAACCCAGGCTCCAGCATCTTCACTGCAATTTTTGGCCCCGCAGCCTTTAACCCTGACAGCCCGAGTCAACTGACCTGAACTCTGAAGCTTGGTGCCACATAGATTTTATTGCAGTGTAGACAGGACCCAGCTCCAGCCCGAGCCAGCTATGGGAGCCAACCACGGCCATTTCTCACAGCGTAAATGTATCCTGAGCTACCAAGGGACTGGACTAAATGCCTTAACGAGTCCTTTTTCTTCTCTAATTGCTATGATGGGTGTAGCCAAGCTATGCCACTGACTGCCTTTCTCCCAGCCTGTGTCTGACTCAGTATGTCATGCTCAAGTCCCCGCCCCCTCCGCCCCCATTCCTCTGCAGAAAGGCCAATAAACCCTACCTGCCCCCCAGGGCCATGCTTAGTAAGATTGAAATTCTAAACCTGAAAGCATAACCTTTAGTTTATAAGAAAATCAAGACAAAAACAATTCCATGACCAAGATACCACTCACTCACCTTGACGTAGCCTGGTCCAGGGGGGCAGGACAGCTGGGTTCTATTTAGGGCAACCAGATAGTAAGTGTGAAAAATCAGGACGGGGTGGGGAGTAATAGGAGCCTATATAAGAAAAAGCGCCAAATATCAGGACTGTCCCTATAAAATCGGGACATCTGGTCACCCTAGTTCTAGTCCTGCTATCCACTTACTGGGTGGCCCTCCAACAGCATTTCTGTTTTAACATTGCGTCAATATCAGTCTGGTCCAAGCAGGGTTAGGTGATGGAGTGTTAGAAACACCTGGCAGCCTTGCAACCTGTCTCCACCAGAGCTCTCAATGTTGCTAACGCTGGTGGAGCTGCATGAGTCTGAGCAGGGCTGGAAAACTTTCTACAATTTTCCCTAGAAAAGGGCCCTCAAAGAAACATTTCCCATCCAGTACAGTGCTGTCAATCAATGGGATTACTCTGGGCTACCTGGCAGGAAGTGCCCGCTGGACTGGGCCTACTCTGTACAACAGGGGTTCTCAAACTGGGGGTTGGGACCCCTCAGGGGGTTGTGAGGTTATTACATGGGGGGTCATGAGCTGCCAGCCTCCCCCCCAAACCCTGCTTCGCCTCTAGCATTTATAGTGGTGGTAAATATATAAAAAAGTGTTTTTAATTTATAAAGGGGGTCGCAATGAGAGGCTTGCTATGTGTAAGGGGTCACCAGTACAAAAGTTTGAGAACCCCTGTTGTACAACATGCAGCAAAGGGATGAGGGCAGAGCTAAGCGGGAAAAACAGATCCATGGTGATACTTTGTTCCAAAGGGAACGTTATTCCGTTACTCCCTATTTCAGTCACAGCCCTGTAGATTTTAAGGGCCAGATGGGACCATTAGGTCATCTATTCTAACTTCATTCCTAAGCAAAGCCAGAGACTTTCACCCAGTTACCCTCTATCAGGCCTGGTAACTTGTTTGACTAAAGCACCTTGTCTAGAAAGGCATCCAGCCTTGATCTGAATCTACAGGAAGGAAACTGGTCCAAATCTCCTCTCATTGCTACTGTTGGCAGAACTGTGCAGGTGCATGGATAATTTAAAAGTCAAACACAGGTGGAACTTTTGGGTAGAGGCCCCTGACTTCATCCCTCTCCATAAAGTACAGTGGGTGCTGATAGGATGCAAATGCAGGGTGTCAACCCTTTAGGATTGTCCTGGAGTCTTTAATTAAAGCTTATGTCATGTGATGAAACGTCCAGCAATAGTTGACCAAAACTGGCAACCCTAATCCAAATGCACGTGGGTCTGATCTAAAACCCAGTTGAAGTTAAGGGGAATCTTTCCATTGGCCTCAAAGGGTGTGGGATTGGGTGCTTTCGGGGGAAGAGGGGGTTGCTGGAAGGCTTGGAGGGGGCAGGAGCGAGCCTTATTTCCCCCGTCTTGAAAGGCTGACAGTGTTCAGTGCCTGCCTGCAGGACGAGGGAGGGTCTGAGCTATTCGTTGCCTGGGCTCTGGTTTAATCACCCGCTTTCAATTCGGCTTCTGGCTCCATCCTCTCCCCATTTGCGCTCTGCCAAAGCGCAGGGCAGGCGGGTTTCTGCTCCGCAGCCCAGCGAGAGTTAACGCCGGAGCCGGCTCTCCATTGGCAGCCGGGGGGCGGCGCAGCCCTTTCACTGGAAGTTGGCGGGTCTGAAAGGCGCCTGCCGCCGCTCAGCTCCGGGAGGAAGAAGGAGGCAGCGACTGCTCCCTGCACCGGGGACTCCCGGGGCAAACTTAGCCGGCGCTGGCGGAGACCGGGCGCGCCAGGAGGAGGCTCCTGTCTGGGCTCGGCGCATGACGCTCCCGGCCGCCCTGCTTGGCTGGGATGCCCGGTCCCCGCGGCTCCGGAGGGAGTGAGCTGCCCCTGCCCGCCTGCTAGGGCTGCGGTGCCCCCTCCCCGCTCCATGCCCCGGGCGCCCCCCGGCCCGGCCAGCATGCTCCGCCTGGGCACGCTGCTGCAGTCGCTCGCCCTGCTCTGCCTCTGCCAGCGCCGCTCCGGGCACGTCTGGGGCAGGCTGATGAGGGGCTCCGGGGAGCTGGCCGGGAGCGCCGCCGCTGCCTGGGACCCGCTGCCGGCCCTGCCCCGGCGGAGCCGGCGGGGAGCCTCGCCGCCGGCCAACAGCTCCGGGGCGGCGCCCTGGTGCCCGTACAAGGTGTTCAGCGAGGGCCAGGCCAGCGGCCGCCTCTGCTTCCGGAGCCCGGCCCGGGACTTCCAGTGCCCGCCGCCCAGCTGCAAGGCGCACCGCTCGCCGGGCCGCGCCCTGGTGGCCAACGTGCTGCGCAACGGCAGCGTCCTGCTGCAGTGGGGGGCGCCCGGCGGGCCGGGGCGGGACCTGCGGGGCTTCGCCCTCAACTGCTCCTGGGACGGCACCTACACCCGCTTCCACTGCGACAGCGTCCAGCTGGGGGCCAGCTGCCGGGACTACCTGCTGCCCGACGCGCACGGCAGCGTGCGCTACCGCCTGTGCCTCCAGCCGCTCTACCGGGCCGGCGGGCCGGGCGCGCCCCGCGCCGAGTGCGTGGAGTTCAGCGTGGAGCCGGCCAGCATGCAGGACATCGTCATCGCCATGACGGCCGTGGGGGGCTCCATCTGCGTCATGCTCGTCATCATCTGCCTCCTGGTGGCCTACATCACCGAGAACCTCATGCCGCCGGCCTGCGGCCGGGCCGCCGCCCCCAAGAGGGGCACGTAGGGCAGGGGGCCCGCCCCGGCGGGGGGGACCGCTCCAGAACCGGCCCTAGAGCGCCCTCTGCTGGCGGGGGCATGGAACCGGCCTCTAGAGCCGGGGGCTGGAGCTCCCTCTGCAGGCGGGGGCTTGGAATCTGCTCTAGAGTCAGGGGTGTGGACCCGCCTCTAGAGCCCGGTCCTGGAGCTCCCTCTCCAGCCAGGGGCCTGGAACCAGCCTCTAGAGCAGGGGGCTGGAGCACCCTCTGCAGCCAGGGGTGTGGAACCGCCTCTAGAGCCTGGGCCTGGAGCTCCTTCCGGCCTGGAACCAGCCTCTAGAGCCGGGGGCTGGAGCTCCCTCTAGAGCCGGGGGCCTGGAATCTGCCCTGGAGTTCTAGAGCCAGGGGTGTGTGGAACCGCCTCTAGAGCCCGGTCCTGGAGCTCCCTCTCCAGCCAGGGGCCTGGAACCTGCCTCTAGAGCCGGGGGCTGGAGCACCCTCTGCAGCCAGGGGTGTGGAACCGCCCTTAGATCCTGGGCCTGGAATTCCTTCTCCAGCTAGGGGCCTGAAACCTGCCTCTATAGCCAGGCAGCTGGAGCTCCCTCTCCAGCCAGGGGCCTGGAACCCTCCCCCCAGCTCGGGCATGGTGGATCCCTCTCCATCCAGGGTAGTGATGGACACTTCTCTTCCTAGCTGACTCCAAAATGCATATTGATCACAGTGCTGTAGGGGGTAGACTTTGATTAAAGCGTCACCTGGGGGTTACCAAAGCCTATAACCTTTCTGTTCCTGTTAGCGGTGACAAGGACAACTTAAATCCAGAGGAAACCAGTGCCATCACCCAGAGCAGATCTGCAGCAACCTGAGGGACCTCAGTACCATTGTATGACTCAAAGATCTTTAGAGTTGTATGCCGTATTATTTTTCATAGAGGACTTTCTATAGATCAGTCTTAACTAGACCAAGGGAAGTTTTAAATAGCTAAGGAAAACTGTGTTTAGAAAGAAGCAGGGGGAAAATAGTCATGCATTCAGCTGTCTGAACATCAGTGTTCTGTGATAAAGAACTTATACTGTGAAATATTTGTGAGGTATGTAATTGTGGTTGGGCATGGTCATGCAGACATTACTAATAGAAAAGTAAGTATTGTTACGGAATCCTGAAAGATTGGGTTATAAGCAACCTTCGAGATAATGTTGATGTGTGCATTTGATTGTGATTTTTAGAACTAAACATTCCACAAGAGGATAAAAGAGATGGGACAAAGAAAGCCCCAACTCCTCACACTATGTGCCATAACCTAGATTGTTGCATTGTTTTGCGGTCGTGTTACATAGGAAAATTCACAGTAAAATAGAGTTAGTTAGTAATAGGATCAAAATTGGGCATATTAGTTAGTGCTGATTTAAAGCATTCAGAAATACAAGCCTGTTCTTCAGCACATATTTCGTTAGGTACCATCTTTTTTGTGAAGTTGTTTTCCTTCATTTCATTTGCAGACCAGTTGTTAAAATACCAAGATCTTTTTGTTTTAATAGCAAATTTGCCAAGTGTATCATGTAAAGGTTTGGAATTTTGTTTTCTATTTTTAGTTAAAAAAAAAAATTAAAAAGCAGCTATTCTGCCTGAGCCATACTCAGTTTTCAAACTTAAAATATCTCAGTGAGTTAAAAATAAAAATCAGGAATCTGCATGAAGTGCCAGCAAAATTGCAGTTTTGAAAAGTAAACGAACTTATTTTTAGAGGCCTCAAATCAAAAAAGCACTTAAACACATGTTTAACTTGAAGCATGTGCTTAAATCCCATTGATTTAGATGTGCTTAATTGCTTTCCTGAATGGGAATGCTATCCTGAAACTTGGCCAAAGAGAGTAGATCAATACAGCTTCAACTCTGGGGCTGATGCAAAGTCCACTGAACTGAGTGGAAAAACTCCCATTGACAGCGGTGGGTTTTGGATCAAGCCTTATGGTAAGCAGCTCAACAACTCAGGGGCCCAGGCCTGTCCCAATTGAAATCAACAGGAGTTTTGTCATTGGCTTCAACAGCACTAGGCCCTTTCAAAAGTAACAATGTTTTTAGAAAAAACATTGGATCTAGCCAATGTGTCTCAGGTTTCTGCCTGCTGCAGTTTAAAAAAGGCCAATTTAAGACTGGGATTCATAATGGAAACATGAACTGAGCTTTAATTATAATGGTGTGAAAAATACACAATAATAACTACTATGACTAGTCTTTGCTACCCCATCTTTTACGAATGCAATACACCTTTGTTCCACTAAGGTAACCCCTCCTAAACTCTGAATTCTATTATGTAGTAGCTGAGTATTTTTAATATAGGAACACTAGCTGTAATCCAGTCACTCGATGCTATAGTAAACTAGGATTTTAGCTAAACTCTAGTATTCATTATATTGTGCCTTAGTGTTGAAAGTTTGACCCATTTATATTGGCTTTTCTGTTCTTGTTGTAAATGTTATTGGAACATGTGTACCTCCCACAGTGTTTTGTCTGTTTAATAGGAAAATAAACCTAGGCTAGCTGAATATTACTTAAATTTTAAATATATATTTAAAATAGAGTAAATTACCTTCCTAGAGCTTCTGTGTTAGTTTTTATTTAGTATTGTCTCCACATAGTTTACTGGTATAATAAAAATCTAACATTATATCACATTAAAAAATAATGGTAGGGGGAAAATAGGGTTTATGTAACAGCGTATTATTAATAGATCACACATGAAACTAAAGTGTTTGTCTGAATAAACACATATGTTTATAATCAGTAAATGCCCAGTGAGCGTTTCTGAGGTAGTATGGAAGACCTAAAACTTGTAAGTACAGTAGATGGCATATGTAGAAACCCTCTAGGATCTGTTAAAATACAATATTTATACTAATCAGATGAGCACAGCCATACTACAGACTACATTTCTTCCCCCCCCCCCCCCCCCACTGTGTGTGTGTGTGTTTAATCCAGCAAGCAAACTTATTTCCCTTAGGACTGAAATAATTTAAGGGTGGTCAGGAAGCTGAAGATCTGTATTTTGTCAGACAAAAATACCTCTCTTTTTCATTATTTCTTCATGTTTTCCTTCTCACAAGAAGCTTGCTGTAAATTACACTTCTTCCCTTTGTGAGTTTCTTGCCTATGAACCTTGGTTTAAAACCACCTGACAGTATTTAAAATATAATTGCAATCGGGGGATGAGCCCTGACAGACAATTTCATTCACGTTTTTCCCCAGAGAGAGATAATGTGTGAAATAATCTGAAATTAGTTCAAGAATATTAAGACAAGTTGTACCTAGTGGAGTCATGTCATCCTTTGTGTAAATTCATTGAAATTCAGTGGATTTAAACCCACGGTGAATTTGGCTAGTTTCCTTTGAAGACTTCGCATGCATCTACCCTATGGCCAATTCTAGGCAGGATTAGTAGAGTGGAACTAATATTGTACATTTCTATCAATTTCTGTCACTTGCTGTTGCTGTCTTGTCCTTCATCTTGCCATGAATTGCCAGACTTGAAAGTTAAATGTATAACTAATGAGCCTTGTATCACCTTGGAGTTGACCTTAATGAATTAAAAGAACATAATAAAAACGTTATAGATTCTGACTGATACCTTTTTTGATCAGGTGAGTTAGAAGTCCTTTCTGATTCACGTAGTGGATAAACCCACCTAAGGCTTGTCCTAGTTATATTGCTTGCTGTAAAATTATTGCAACATTGTTTGTTATACAGGTAGAAACACGTGGAATTTTTGAGCACGTGCCTTATGGAAAACATTGCTAGCATAACTCTTCTGCACAAAGATTATTTTCCCCCCTCTAACAAACAGGTTTTCTGTGCACACCTTTTCTTTTTCTTTGTTCTTGTTCAGTGTCCCACATGTCTACGAACCTGAAACAAAACCCAGTGAGGTCAATAGAAAGTCACCCATGGACTTCACTGGGCTTTGGATCGGGCCCTATAATGCTGTATTTGTTGTCTGTGTTTCTCAGCAAATTAACTGTAAAAATATTTCCTTTAAAAAAAAATGAATAACACTGGTGGTTCAGCTGTACAGCAAGTATGTTCTCAGCTGTGCTGGAATTTTCAACACCCATATTTTTGGTTTGATTTCTGGCCAGTATAATAGAATTGCAGCGGTGCTTCATTTGAGGATCTCAAGTGATTTGCAAGCAGTTGTAAGTATTTTTATTTCCATTTTAAAGATGAAGAAACTGAGGCACAGAAAGGTTATTGAGTGACTTGTCCAAGGTCACACAGAACTATTCTGGCAGAACCTGGATTAGAATCCAGACCCTCTGACTTCTAACCTGCTTTTAATAAATAGAATCAGCTTTAACAACTGTTTTATTTTCCAAATAATGGGTCAGATCCTCAGCTGATGTAAATTGGCATCGTTCCATTGAGATCACGGAAGCTATGCTCATTGACATTAGCTGAAGCTGTGGCCCAATCCATTTAGGTCTTACTCGGTTTGACATTCAATGTTCCATTCAGATTTATGTGCCGTTTAAAATAAGAGCATTAAAAATTAACTATTTTCATTTCTCCTCATCCATCATTGATGAACCATAGTTTGGGACAAACATTACACAATTTCTTTTCACATATCTTCTCCTTGAGCTCCTTTGTAAAGAGGTGATCACAGTATCTACCGTATTTTAATAGCGGAGTTAAATACATGCGCTAAAGACTCTGAACACACTACATTCCCTACTGAATCACTTTCCCCACTAATAACAACATGGTCAAAACAGCCCTGTCTGGTAGTTCATCCAGTGCAGGTCCCACCCCAACGGTGGCTGAATTTCTGCAGTGGGTGAAGTGAACTGTTATTTATGTAGAGTGTACTAGTACCCGTACTCGCTTTCCAAACACTGAGTGGGAGAAACAAAGTCCCTGCCCCAAAGAGCTTGCTATCTATATCGGTAAATCCAGCATACAGGTAATGGCCCCAGCCCTTCAATCAGATCTGATAGTGCTGATCTTTCCCCTGTGAGAAGCCCTACTGAGCCAAAATGATCAGTGTGAGGATAGATGCCTCTTTTGTTTTTAAATAGAAACTATCCCAATCTAACCTTTTAATGAGCCGTTCTTAGCTTCAGACCCAAGCCTCGTCTACAACCACAAATTACTTTAATCTATGTACTCACAGAACCAGCTCCTGATCTCAGTTACTCTAGCGGAAACAGCAACAGTTAATTCCTAGATTTAACTTTCAAATAAGCTGCATTGGTGGATACTGGTAGGGAAAATGCACTTGCTACAACATCTTCCCCACTATCCCCCCTATAAAGAGATACCCTCTAGCAATGACATCTGCTTTTGTGGATTGCATTTCTGCAGCATGTTGGGCGGGAGGGGTAAGAAACAAGAGCAACAAGATGTACTACAAAGGATTAATCCTGTTGCGGGAATTGCTGCAACTCTCAGAAGGTTTATCTTATCAGCATTACATTCATTTCTATGCATTATGGATGGGATGTGTAAAACAATATCATATGGCTTCTCATTGGCTTTCAGTGGATTAAATCTTGACAATATATCGCAGCGTCGGGGCAGGAAAAATGAGATAATTCTCTCCCTTTGCATATGATGTTAAGCAAAACAAGAAAACAACATGTTCAATAATAACCCATTTGCAATTGATCATTTTGATTTTTTTTCTACAGCATGAATAAGGAAATTCCTATGTAGCAATAATGGGGATGTTACTTGTATGTGCCTTGATATTAATTGGATCCAGACAAACTGTATTGTATAAAATGGGGCAATTAAATTAAGCATTCTTAGCCAGTCCCTTCAAAATACTCAGCTTATGCTGCAGGGGTATGATTGATCCTGTTCTATTTCAGGATATTCTAAAGAGCTGGGGCTAGACCCTCAGCTGGTGTATCTCTGCACATTCCATGGACTTCAATGGCGCTGTGCTGATTTACATTGTATATTAATATTATGGAGGGGAAATGGAAATAGCTTCTGCTGTGTTGTCTCTGCCTTAGCAACTGGGGTGTTAAAAATCTAAATGCTGCAGTCTAAGGGGTGTTTGGACTCAGGGCTTAGCTGATAATTTTCAACACAAATACCCTGCAGTCTGCAGGCCACGTGTGCAGCTGTTAAAATAGGATGCGGCTGAATTATGCTTGCAAGCAAATTTTCTCTGTGCCCTTGTGCTAAATGGGAGAAAAAACGGTATTTGCGGAAAGGTGAGCAAACGGAACTTTTCTGACTGACTTTGCCTTTGAATCATCTCAACTCCCAGGCAGAGATGGCCTCAGCTTCAGGCTAAGGTGGGTTGTTGCTGTTTTTTTTAATTACATTGGGTTTTGTGTTGCATCAAAGGGAAAGTTCAAGGTGCTTTGCTTCCCTGTGAGGTAAAGGGAAGGCTGGTACTTTGCTTCCATGGATACCTGGAGTAGTAATCCTGCAGGGTTGCAGACCACTAGGCTGTTTTTCACCAAAATGTTGTAGAAAGAAGAGGGGGTAGGTGGAGGTGGGGAGGGGAATGGTAGATAACAGCTACCTTGTCGTGTTCCTGTATAAAAGTCCTGCAGTCGCTTCCCGGCTCTTTGAGCTCTGGTCAAGTGAAAAATTCTCTAAGGTCTGTTGTAGGCCAATTCTGAGCAGATGCATCTTCTCTCCTTCCCCCAGTGTTATTTGCACTCTCTCTTTGAGGGCCACCCAAGTTGAAAAACGGATCCAGTCTTTGCACTGTTTTCAGGGTGGTGGGTTATTTTAAGCTTCCCTTGCAATGTCTGACCCTGTCTCAACTCAGTCCTGGAGAGATTATCACCGGGGATGAAAGAGGGACCCACAAAAGTTTATGCTCAAATAAATTTGTTAGTTTCTAAGGTGCCACAAGTACTCCTGTTCTTTTTGGGCCTCTTTAACTCATTCAGCCCTTGAGTCGAGAGAAGGAGGTTTGATTGACCAGGTCCCAGGTCAGGGAGCTCCAGGGAAACAGAGAGACACTCCAGTAGGCTTTTACTTATTGATTTGTTTGTTTGTTTCCTGATTGTAAAGTAGAAGGGAAGGAAAGGCAGCTAGAGGCTGTGAGATCAGGGAAGGACGATCTTGTAATTAAGGCACTGAACTCAGACTTGCTGTGGCGGGATGTACCAGACCCTTCCTGGCCCCATGCTGGAGCCTTCGTCACACCAGATGCAGTTTCTGCTTCTGCCACAGACTCCTACCTTGGGCATGTCTCTTAATCCCTCAGTGACCCAGGTCCCCATCTGAGAAATGGGGATGATGATAGTCCCTTTGTCTGCTGCATCTAATTACAGGGACCAGTCCTTACAATGTGTGTGTGTGTGTGTATACAGCGCCGAGCACAATGGGGCCCAAATCTCGGTCAGGGCCACTAGGCATTACCACCATGATGGTTCTAATAAATTGGTGTCAGTTTGGATTAAAGCTTGACTACCCAGCGACTGATTTTGCATTCAAATCTGAGCCTCCTGAGAACTTCTTCTGCCCTGCCCTGTGACAATGGGTACGTTTACTGCAGAGACAATATTCTTCCTCCAGTTCACACGCACAGGGCTCAGGTTCTCCATAGCCAGGCATCCTGAAGCCAGTAGCTCTCCGTGGAGTGTACTTCAGTGTGGAGTCTGGCCTGAGATGCTTTAGCAGATAAGTAACAGCAGCCAGTTAGGACTTGATCCACATGGAGAGGTTTGATCCTTCTATTATAGGTACTTCTCTGGCCCCCAACACCGCAGTCCCCGAGTGCCTCACAATCTTGACTGTATTTATCCACATGACACCCCTGTGTGGTAGGGCGGTGCTATCATGCCCATTTAACAGACTTGGAACTGAGGCCCAGAGCAGCTTTTTAAAGGGACTTAGGTGCCTAAATACTTTCAAAAAAATCTCAGCCTAAGTGACTTGCCCGAGGTCACCTAGGAAGGCTGGGTCAGTGCAGGGAATTAAACCCAGGACTCCCAAGTCCTCAGCTGACCCTGTAACCACTGGACCCTACTTTTTCTCTGCTGATCATGGTGGAGCTGCCATAGTGGCAGGGCACAATGCCATTTCACTGGGCAATCCAAACCCTGTGTGCGCAGTTTATCTAGTCGCTAATAGTGCTTGCGCTGAGTTGTATTTCTCTACCGACGTGGTAACGAACCCACTATTACTTCTCTTAGCTCTTGCCCCAGAAGAGATGCTTGTATCATTTATTTGCTTGGCAGGCTCATGTGTTTGCATATGATGAGGCTGGTGTTCCCCACCGATAGTATGAAGATGAGTGTGCTTATTTTCCTGCATGCAGATGCAGGCAGGTTTCCAAAGCTCGGTGACCGAAGTAGAAATGTCTACTAGGAAAGAGGCAAGAATCTGCTTACAGCAGCCCAGCAGAGTTGAGCTTTTTCCCCCTTCCTCCTCCTCGTCCTCCTCATCCCAAAGCATCTTTACAGACCTGGGGAGCAGAACAGCATCACCATCCATTCCTGTCCAGGGCTTTTTCCTCCATTGACCCCCGTCTGGTCATGTCCCTGTGTACCATGTCCTGCCAGCTACTCGGTGGTCGGCCTCTAGGTCTGACTAACCTTGGTTGCAGTTGGATTATTTTATTTGGTATCTGTCAT